AACTAATTTAAAACTCCACACCTAAGCTGAGATTTTAATGCATTCCTAAGATGAAATATTTAGGTGTCATCCTCAAATTTTGGTATATTTGCTTGACTTGAATTGCAATATTCCTATGCTCCTACTACTTATGTTATTTCAATATCATGGCTTCACGTTGCAGCTGTAATATTAAAATAGTGCTGAATTATTTACTTTTGTTCATATAGCTACCCCCCACAAAGTACCAGGAAGTTCCAAATGAAGGCAGCAGTTCTTACGCCGAGCGTCATTGGGTCCTGCAATGCCCTGATAACTACATTCCAAAGGTCGGCATGGTTTTCAAGGACTTAGATGATGCGATTCGTTTCTATCGTGCTTATGCTGCTGAGGCGGGGTTTGATGTGCGCAAGACTACCACTACAAAGAAAGAGGGCTCCGTTGTTTGGCAATATGTTGTTTGTAGCCGCGAGGGTAAAAAATATGTCCCCACAATCTCCCACAATGATGCATCACATGACATTGGACAGGCCGCATTATCTAAACCTGGGAGAAGAAGACGCATTTCTTAGCGTATAGGCTGTATGGCACGTGTTGCATTTCGCATCCTTGGACATGATGGTTACGTTCTCAGCATATTTGAAGAACAGCACAACCATCCTCTCACTTCTCTCCCCTACAAGCCATTTTTGAAGATCAACAGGAACATTAATCTAGGCCATAAGAAGTTCATACTCAACTGTGCTAAAGCAAACATTGGTACCATGAAATCATACAGACTTTTCAAGGAGTCCGTTGGTGGGTATTCAAGTGTTGGTGCTACTGCTGTGGACTTCAAAAACTTCAAACGTGATTTGAAGGCCTATATTGCCGGTGGAGATGCTCAAATGGTCATTGACAAATTATTCCGAAAATCAGAAGTATGCCCTGGATTTCGGTTTGATTATGAAGTTGACGAGTACGACCAGCTTTCTAGGCTATTTTGGTGTGATGCTGCTTCCAGGAAAAGCTACTCCCTGTTTGGTGATGTTGTCTCCTTTGATGCCACATATCAAACCAACAGGTCATACATCTATTAATTTCCATTTATCACATCTCACCTCATCCCAATATATCATGCAACTCTTTGTTGATTCATAGCACTATCCATGTCCTTATCACTTGT